ATGCTTTGAAACCTTAATATACGGGCTGCTCTTTCCATCTCAAATTTTATCAGGGTATCTTCCATCTTGTATTTATATCTTGTAATTGTCTTGTATTTATATCTTGTAATTGTTGGTCCACTTCTTTGATTTTTCCTTCCATCTTATCAGACAATGAGGCCAAGTTTGCTTTGTTTTCCACCAGTTTTTAAAATTTCTTCTGTTTTCATTGACAGTTGTTCCGTTAATGCATCTAGTTTCATTTGTATAGGTTCTATAGCTTTAGCCATGAGAGAGGGTAGAGTTGTTTTCATGACAGAACTTACTGCTTGTGTAACACTTTCTTGTATTAGCTTCTGCAAATCTTTTATGTTCATCTGCGCTAGATTCATTGTTAAAGCTTTCACTTGTCCTGGGGATGGAATAGACGCCTTTCTGGTTCTGCTAGACATCTTTTAATAAAACTTTAGTTCTTATTCTCAGTGTTATCATTCAACCTGAAGTTCCAAGAGGAGCTAACCGCTAATATCCTTCTTAGTTCTTACGTCTTAATATACTTCCACTACTCTATACCTATACCTACTCTACACCTATTCCACTACCTAACGTATCCTGTCTATAACCTCAATACTCTTTAGTTATCATATTACTATTACTACCTATCTAGCTACTACCTATACTACCTAAACCTACCTACTTTACTAAGCCCTTTCTTTTAAGTGTCCCCTTAAGTGCAAACAGCACTTTCTAGTAACTACTATGTGCGTAAGTGCAAACAGTTGATATTACTACAGCAAATCACAAAAAATCAAAATACATTTAAGGTATAAACAAACACAACCAACGGGCAACAATTACTGTCCTAAAAAATTAGAGTAATCTTGCTTCAAACGATCTTCTCCGTCCTCTTCTGTTCTTCCGTTCTGTTTCTTCTTTCTTTCTTCCTCCCTCTTTTCTCCCAATCAAGCCGGCACTCAACAACCCAGTGTCATCACAAACACTACTTGCCTCCAGACACGTTTGTTAAATAAAGCATGCAAAAGCAAAATATAGGCAAGCAGTCAAGTCTACGAGAAAGGAGGCTCATAAGTAATGTTAAATACTACTTGATTTGCCCCTAGCAGCATTCATTAGTATAGTATAAGTTTATTGTCGTAGCCATAGGCCATAACATAATACATCAGGTCATAAAATGGTAATCAGTATACTATACTACTTCTACTTTGTGTTAAATACTAAACTCATTCTGATTTTCCTTGTTGCTAAGGCAAATAACGCCATTCTGCTAGAGAGATAGTGGTCAAGATCTGAGAGTAAAAATTTAACCAGATCCAGATCGGAGAGTCCATTACGCTGCGGAATAATAGGGTTAGGGATGATGTACTTTAGCCTAAGGGCTTCATGCCATGGGCATCTCAGAATATAATGTACAATACCAAAGAAACGTCCAGTCCTGATCATTGAAGGCATGGATTGAAATCTTAAAGCTGTAAAAGCCGATCTTAATTCCAGGCTGGTCAGCTTCTCTAAATACAGGGACCTACAGTGATCCCTTTTAAAAAACTTGAATAATGGTGCCGTACGACAACGTGCTATCACATCCTGATCCATAAGCCCATCCTTTTTGAACACCCATTCCTTCAGTTCCCGTGATTGGGTTTTATTCCTTAATAGATCATCAGGAATTGAAAATTTCAATTGAATTGAGGCCAACTGGTCACCTAATCTCTTGGAGGCTTTCAGGTGCAAACTAAAACTTAAACCCCCCAGGGAATCCTGGAGTCGTTCTAAACATTTTCTCCAATAGGACAGAATTCTGACATTGACTCTGGCATTCAACGAGGTAATTCCCAGTTCAGTCCTCATTAATGCCACTGGCGCACCCCTTGGCAAGATGAGAATCCGCCTCATAAAATAATTCTGTACTATTTCTAATGAGGACAATATCTGATCTCCCCAGCCCCAGATCTCTGATCCATACAGCATGGCTGGAATTATCTTACTCCGATACAGTTTAAGAACTGGGTCTACCATGCCTCCTCCCTTAGAAAAGTAAAGAAAACAGGGGTTCCTCCAGCGTGCTCAGCAGCTCTTTGTCTCCAGAGTTATATCCACAGAAAACAACAAGTAAAGCCCAGCTATATCGCTTACAGACACTCAATAGCTGTTTTTCCGGATCCTCTCCAACTCCTAGTATAGTTCCGTTTCTCCAATACTGCTTGTATTAGAGCGTCAAGAACCAGTGACAGTCTGCAGTACGATTAATTTGCACAACCTTGCACGGCCGCTTTAAGGGGGTGTTGGTCCTCACCCCGCCTCTTCAGATGCTCCGCACTAGTACATTGACTTAAAGGACGCTCCTTCTTTTTTACTTCTCTCATCTTCCACCAATAAGAGAAAGAAATGTCAAAATATCAATTGTGAAGTCTCCAACGTTGATGTTCAGTCTAACATAAAAGAGAGTTTGGTAGACTCTCTCAGGTCCATTGCACTCCACATTCTCCATGGAAGAACCATCGAGTATCCCAACCACAGCCACCTGCCTCAGAGCAATTCCCGGGTTCGGGTGCAAGCCGCTGCTCGCCTTCTCCCAGAATAAGCTCCTTGCTGTAAGCCTCCCTCCAGGAGTACTCACTGGGGTCTAGCATGTTGCAGCCTCCGCTGGGGGGGCCTGGGGGGCAGCAGTTCAGGAGGGAGCGTTCCCGCCACCTTCTGCTGTCGTTGAGTTCGGACCTCATGTTATGACTTTGAAGGGGCCAGATTAAGTTAGCCAGACAAGCTCACTAGTCAGCTAAGAAAGCAGGACTTGCCCTCCTTTCCAAAGCTCCAGGAACCATCCTGCAACACACACACACAGCATACAGATTCCTGGATTGTACAGAATAACCTGCAGTTGGAATGTAAGGTTGAGAGAGGACTGCTGGCAGCCCCGTTTACTCAGAACTCTGCTTGAGAACACAGACTGCAGAGATGGCAGCTATGACTTGTGACTTGCACTCACCATCATGGAAGAGGCCGTTTCACCCATTATGTAGAAGGCAAGTCACCATCTGTTCATAGTGAATGCAGGAACATGCAAAAGTGAGGCATGTACTTGCTATTGATAGCTATGGCTTGCCTGCATCCTCATGCAAAAATTTTAAGGTAGGCCCATTCCCATCCCAAGTTCATGCTATGGCAACAGCAGGTCTGCTATGGTAGCTGCCATGTCAGTGCTGAGAGGGCTCTGTGTGAACTTTGAATCTATTCCCCCCCCCCCGCATGTGACTGGTACTACACTTCCAAGTAGATGTACCTCATTTGGCAGAAAAACCCACACCTCACCAAGAAGGAAACATGGAAGGGGAGGGGGAATCATGGATTTTATTCTTGCTAGAAGTAAGTGGATGACAGGCTTGGCAGGAGGAGGGAGGTGTTCTTACAAGAACAAAATGACCAAACACCTATTCAACTGAATTTACTTTACTTAAATCATCCACTAGCCGAGCATTTCCCAACTGAGGGTCCCACTCTGAAAGTGGGCTGTAAAGACTGTGAAAGAGGGCCCCAGGTGCTGCTGTTTTATTGATTTGGGCATGCTCTGTTTTACTTAAGTGGTTCACCCCATCAAGTAAATTTGGACTTGTGGGTCACCACCACTTGTGGAAACGAGAACCACGGCTTTAACTCAAGCTCAAACTCCCAAATGAACACTATTCCTTGAGACCATACATCAGCAAAAAGTTGTTAATAACAAAAGGCATCATCCAGTAACCGTAACAGATTTATAAGACAATATAAGTAAAACATCAAAAAGGTTTAATTTTATTGTTCCTAGTAGTCTGCACAACGTGAAAGCCTGCACTCTCCGTAGCCAAATAATCAAGTACTTTACACCTTCCCACAACTAGTTTTGAAATCTACTAATCCTTTTAATAGCAGCAATTGTGCTATAAGATTTGAACACAAGAATGTTTTACCAAGACTCATTGTGCCATCCTGAGCAGAGTAATATTCTTCTCAGCCTGTTGACTTCAATGGGCTTAGAAGGGTGCAACTCTGCTTAGAATGGACGGCCAATGACAGGACATACAGGCCGAGGCCTTCCCCTGATGTTGCCCCCTGGCTCTAGCATTCAGAAGATTAGTGCCTCTGAATGTGGAGATTCCCCTCAGTTGTTGTTCCAAAAACAACAATAAAAACAGACATCTTTGCTGTGGTTGAAAGGACATACACAGATAACATTGATCAGCAATAACATTAACACCACAAAAACCTAATTAAGATAAGTTATATTATCAACTTTTAAAAATTTCACTAAACACAAATGCCAAGAATTACTGACTATAAGAAACCTTTGTTCCAGTACATTGTGTTATTTTCCATATAGACTTTTGTGGTTCCCCCCCCCTCCCGTTAATCCATTGATATATTCAAAGTAACCAGCCTGTCTTCAGAAAATTATAATATTGATTTCGTTGTAAGGGTCGGATCTCCTCCATGACTTTCCCCATGTTTTCCAAGATTGGAAACCACCTCTCAATATAATTTGAATGACGTAATGAAGGGTGTAAAGTAGAAATACTATCTGCCACTCTGTCCATTATTAGGTGGTTCCATATCTTAGAGTACCAAACAGCAACTGTGGGGGGTCTCCATTTTTCCAACAAGACGCTATAGTTGTTTTAGCTGCTGAGAGGAGTAATATTATGAGGTTTTTCAAGGAATGTTGCCAGAAGATTACAGGCCAATCTTGACCAAGTAAAGGGCAATTAATTCTGTGTCTGCTAACTTTCTTAGGGAATCATTATTATTACTATTATTTATTTTTCATATTTGTATTTTTTAAACCCAGTGTATATTAGAGGAAAGAACATCTGAATGATAGACTATTTAATACCATGGACAGAGTAAATTATATATGGCTTTCTTGTAGAGAAGAAATCTTTCTCCCTTGAGCAGCTCACCACCATTACAAGAAAGGTTGATTAAAGCAAAGCAGGCAGGAGCGAGGAGAGAAAAGACAGCTAATTTAATCAAACCTTCAGCCTCAGAGTCTGATGAATCTCTGCTGCAAGGTCTCCTCTCCACCATGGCTCCTCCATCTTCATACCTCAAAAAAAAAAGAGTGGGGGGGGGGGGGGGAGGCAACACCTGGGGCAAGAAACAAATGAGGACAATGTGTTTAATCATTTTTTTAAAGACTCAAAATTTCACAGAACCTTACTTGCCGCACTATAGGTATGTTTCAAGTGTAATACTCCCCCAAAACAAGGAGATATCGGGAAACAGACATCATATCAATCCTATAAGGCATCTTGGAGGGGCCCAAATCAGGGAACAGAACACCTGAAAAGTTCTTCTAATAGTACAAAGCACTACTACATCGCCACTACCAAAATCTGTAAAAGACTCGCAAGGACGGGTTACCAAACTGAATGTTTATCGTTACCTGCAGCCATTCAAGCCGCCATTATTCCCCGGCTTCTGCCCGATTTTTACAAACTCCCTCCCGTCACCTTTTTCGAAGAGAAAGCCGGGGGCGGGGAACAGATCTCAGCCAACAAGGAATGCCCGGAACCGGGCTGCCTCCTTGGTTACGGATCCTAACTCTAACACAATTGAGAACACCGCTAACTTCAATCTACAGTTTTCACGGCCAATTTGCGGCTGTTGCCTTCGGGAACGGGTGCCTACCAGTTGCACAAAACTTTTTAAGGCTCGGCAATCACAATTTTCTAAATACTCTACGAACACAACTCACACGACGGTTACCTCTGCTAAACTGTGACCTCCCGCCTTTGTCGTATCGGGAATCCTTCAGCTCCTGCTGGGAAAAAAAACCCACTCCAGCTCGGAAGACAAAATAAAACCCCCCCCCCCCCCCCCCAGCCTCTAGTCGTAGAGGCTGGAGGGCCGGGCGGAGGCCGGACACATGCCCCCAGGGTGCGCCTCTTCCCCAAATGTGATTCGGTAGGGAGATTACACGCCAGTTTTACAATACACTCGCGCACAGCCTCAGCCCACGAGGTGTATGGGAGTTGTAGTTCTTTCGCCTCCCGTTTCTCTTGAGTTTGTGCGTAACCGCTTCATAGGGCTTAGAATGTCCGTTCTCTGCTGTGTGCTAAAGTGGCTGACAGAGAGTTTGCCTTCTGGTAATGCTAAAATCCTAAAAGAAATCAACCCTGACTGCTCCCTGGAAGGCCAGATAATGAAACTGAAGCTCAAATACTTTGGCCACCAAATGAGAAGGGAGCACTCACTGGAGAAGACCCTGATGCTGGGAAAGATCGAAGGTCAAAGAAGACCGGGACGGCAAAGGATGAGATGGTTAGACAGTGTCATCGATGCAACGAACATGAAATTGCGCCAACTTCAGAGGACGGCGGAAGACAGGAGGGCCTGGAGGGAGCTGGTCCACGGGGTCGCGAAGAGTCGGACTCGACTGTGCGACTGAACAACAAAAATGCCATTTTAGCAGCCCTGGTCCTAGCACCCGGGTCTCACGCCCTGTCTCAGGCACAGAGTCTCCACTGTGCAGGCTTGGATGAAGGGACAATTGTAGCACGGTCAGCAACAATGACCATGAGCCTGGATGGTTAGTCAGAAAATTCGTATGCTTCGTTGAGGCAGCTCACCGTAAATAAATAACAACAATAAAAACAAAAAAGGACACATTCATAATGTAAACACGCTGGACTGGCACGCTCATCTGTGTCGTTTTAACAAAACTTCACATACTTTCAAGGAAACAGCTGCAGGGGATTCTAGGGTTGCAAATCTCCAGGTGGAGCCTGGAGGTCTCCCGGAATTACAAATGACTTCCAGACAACAGGGATCAATTCATCTGGAGAAAATGGCCTCTTTGGAGAGTCGACTCTATGGCATGATAGTTGTTGAAAGTCCCTCTCCTCCTCAAAGGATGCCTCAGCCCCCTTCCACCCTCAAATTTCCAGGAGTTTTCTAACCCGGAATTGGCAGCCCTACCCTGTATGGCTTACAAAGTTTACAAAGCACTTTTAATTTTTGCCTTTCACTGCTTGTGTATCCAGGGGTCATTTCCTAGAAAAAGAGATGCAGGAGCCCATTAGCATAACTTATTTGCATATGCCACACCCCCTGACATCACCAGAAGTGTGTCAGAAGGCTCTACTGGACTGTTTTGGATTGCTAGCTATTGGGGGGGGGGGAGATGTGCAGATCTGTCCTCACAGAGGAAGGAGAGCTTATACCTGAATAAAACTTGGTCTTAAATGTGCCACTGGACTGTTTTGGACTGGGGGGTGGGGGGCTCTGCAGCTTACCTGGCTGCTTCTTGCTAGCGAGAGGGTGTGTGCTGGGGGCAGGGGGGGGGTCTTGTTCCATGTGCTCGCCCCCTAGGCTCTTTACTGCCGGAGCTCCGCTCCTGTGCGCTCCTGCAGGAAATGACCCCTGCTTGTATCAATTTTGTGTGGTAAAGGAACTAAAGCTGAGGGAAAAAATTATCTGCCTAAGGCCGCATGATTACTATACAGTTAGAAAATGTAGGGAAGTGGCCTAGAGATTAAACAATCCAAACACCCACAGTCCTCCCCTGAAATAAGAGTTTGCAACATTTTTTGTTAGTGCCAAGCCTCCCTTTACTGTCATTGCATAGCGGTGCAGGGATAAGAAGTTTCATCTGCTGAATTCCTGCCTCTTGTGCCTTGGTCAGAAGAAAAAAGAGCTGGCAAGGAGAGGAGAGAGGTGGGATTTGAATCCATATCCTTAGCCAACTTTTAAGCAAATTGATCACACTTTCTACATTGGTTTAATAACCAAACTGGACATAGAAAATAGTCACCACTAATACAACCCCACAAAGTTCAATGTGGCGGAACAAACAATCCTGTCTGCAATGTACTGTGAATCATTCCTCACACAGCTCAGCTCTGCCTATTGAATTAAAAATTATAATTCCACTTTCCCAAAATATTTGGCCCTCATTATGGCTTACAAATTCCATAAACAAATACAACTAATTTTGTCCTTGCCTATAAGTGCATAAGGAGCTGCGGTGGCTCAAGTGGTTAAGACGCTGAACTGCAGGCTGTGGAAGGTCAGTAGTTCAGCAGTTCGAGACCGGGTGCCGCATGACGGAGTGAGTTCCCGTCTCTAGTTCCAGCTCCTGCCAACCTAGCAGTTCGAAAGCAAGAAATTGCATGTAGATAAATAGGTACCACTTCGGTGGGAAGGAAACAGCGATCCATGTGCCTTGGTGTTTAGTCATGCCGGCCACATGACCATGGAAATGTCTTCGGACAGCGCTGGCTCTTCGGCTTTGAAACGGAGATGAGCACCGCATCCCTAGAGTCGGATTCGACTGGCTTTCGAGCAAGGGAACCTTTACCTTTTTATAAGTGCATACAAATAGGAAACTAATAGTACAGGCCTAGTTCGAATAAAAGTGGCTTATCCTTGCTGAATGATCATGTCCAATTCCAATGAAGCCTGATATGGATATGCCCTAAAACACAATCCCAGTAAAAAACACAACACTTGACATGTCTCCCATTCACTTAGGTGTTTTATGACAACAAAATAAAAACAAAACAAGGCCATAATTACTGTTAGCCATATTTTGTGAGATTCTGAATCTAAGTTTTTGGCACACTGTAGTTTGAACTTGAAGATACTTTTTCTTGGCAATTTTTCAGTTCCTTCCCCCCTTTCCTATTTCATTGTTCTGAATTGCAAGGAGAGCAAGCTCACAATGTTTAAAAGGAAAAATGAAGTAGTATGCATTGGGACTGTAATTGTTGAAAGGCTGCCAGGTTTGGAAAAGAAAAAAGGGGTAATGAAGTAAAGAATGTAAGGTTCCTCACCAGAATGAAAATAGAAAGTGGTAGATGGTTAAAGGGGAGGTAGGAGAAAAATCAAAGTTGAACTTTGGTACTAAGTGAATTTAAGTAAGTTATATTGAGTAAGAAAAGAAGGGACACACACTCTTAGAATAGGTAATAAAAGTTAAGAGTTTGTTTTTGGTGTATATATTTTGTCTAGCAAGAATGGATTTAATCATATATGGAAAAGTCTCTGGAAAACCTTTATGCAGAGAGATAAGAGACAAGATTTAAGTCTCTCTCTTCCTGACAGGAGATTGGTAAGCCTGCCATGAAAACGTCACATAAAGAGCTCATATTGTTCCAGACGCATAGCTGCTTTGCAGATATATTAAAGTAGGAAGGGGGAGGGGGAGAGAATGGGCCTCAAGCCATGAAGGCCCCAGGGAAATTTATAACAGTTCTCTCCAAGAATGTTTGGTTACAGAGATTAAAGGAAATATGAAAAGTGGAAGATTTTGATTCTCCTGTAAACCAAACCTTGCTCAAATACCAGTTTGTGGGGAAAACCAAACTGCAAAAATAGAATAACTAGGAATGCTGAGATGTGTAGGATCTGCTAGGAGAATCACAGGAGGTGTATTCACGTCGAGATGAGGAGAGGGAGAAACGGTAAGTAAAATGTATGGCACAAATGGTACAGACAGTGAATGGGGCGTTGGGATTGTTGTATGCACAGCTTATGAAACACTTTGTACGCTGCCGCTGACTAACAGGTTTAACTTAGTAGGTGCACTTAACACTTCCATGGTGCATATGTTAAGTGCCATTGATGATTCTAATCACAGTAACTGAAATCAATCATGAACATATATTCAGATATTCACTTTGGTTCATTGCTTAAATGCATTCTGGGTAAAATACTAAATGCTGACAAGCATATTGCTTGTGGCCTTGCTTGTTCTGGCCAACTATAACTGCGTATATTCCTAATGTCATTTAGCCTACGTTAGATGAAGAACACACACCACTATGTACCCATATCTGCTACATTAGATACTTTTAGAATTTCATAGCCTGGGAAGAAGAAGGCCCATTGTTTAAATGAAGGAGGTACATTTTCGCTTGAGGAAATCCAGCCCACAGGTCTGGGCCCAATCAGAACATTGTGACTGATATATGACAAAGTTTGATGGAACCAATAATTATGTTTTATTTCTAAGTGTCATAGGGGGTATAAAATCTTATGTCTCCCACTGTAACCTTAGGGAGAGCTGTGGGATCCAAAATCTTGTTGAACCCGTGCTTC